AGGACTATTTGAGAGAGCAGGAATGAGGGTAAGTGATTGTTTAATTGATGTGGGCCGTGCTCAAGGGGTCAGTGATTTATACACCCAGTGAATGTTTTCAGGCCCCCCAGACTGTTCACAGATTGGTGTAGCCCTCTCAGAAGCACCAGTCCCCAAGGATAGAGGGAGGAGTGGAGGGGATTTCATAAGCCTTGCCTTCCCCCCCCCCCCCCCCCCCCCCCGAGCCACATGGAATGGTCAGCATCTCCAGGGTTAGAGGTTGAAACTTCCAGGCCACCAGGCTCCCGTGGGTCAGTGAGGCTCTGAGGGACAAGTCACCTGAGCGTTCGTGGCAGGCCCAGCATCCCAGCAGGAGAGGCAGAATGACTGGCGCTACACAGACCTGGTTCTAATCCCAGTCCCACCATTTAAGCTGGAAGATTGGTCCCTGAGCCTCAGTGTCCTCACCTGGGAAACGAGCCTTGGGGGACCTGTGGGAGCAGAGCGTGCAGTGTCTGGCCCTGGCCATGGGCCCTACCTAGTATTTCACCAGCTGCCACTTCCTCCCGCAACACCCCCAGCCTTAGACAGGAAGCTGGGCTGGAGAGAAGGTGGCTCTGGTCCGGGCACTGGTGCTGCAGGTGTGGTGTGTGACCTCGGGAATCCCTCTCTTCTGGCCTCAGCTACCGTCTATAACGGAGGCTCGCAGGATCTGGGGGCCCTGGGGCCGCTTGGATGCCTTCCATTCCGAGTCCAGGTCTGACATGGAGGACCCTGTCCTTCCTTCACTGGAGGTCTTGCCGCTGGGCTCCTCCTCGCCTATGTTCAGAACACCAAGGCTGCCCTGTGCGGGGTGAGAGCAAGGGTCTGCCCCTGCCTCTGGGGAATCTTTTGGCTCCAGGATTCTTGGATTCCTTGATTCTCAGATTCTGTATTGCTAACATTCTGGGCATCTCAGGTTCCACAGCTCTGTGGTCTCTGGTCCTGCTTCCCCAGAAATCTCCAGCCTCCATGAGTTTTTAAGCCCCAAGGAAGACAATTCAGCTTTCTGGCAAAATGGCATTTTCTGTCTTAACTCTCCTGTACTCATTCTCTCTCCTTCTGGGGCTCAGGGA